CGCGCTCCCGAAGGCGTCCTCGGTCGCCCACCCTGGGCAGCCCCGCGCGGCCCGGCGGCTCGCGAGGAAGAGGAAGGCCCGCGCGGCCCACAGTCCTCACTCACCGCTGAGCCGCGCCGGCTCCGAGTGTGCGTCGTTCCGCTGTGGAGCCCAACGGTGACCGCGGTCTCCGCTTCTCCGCAAGCTGTGGAGGCGACGTCGCGGGGAGGCTGAAAGGCGAGGGGTGTCACGGTCGCTCGCTTCACCTTCTCGAAGCTCGGGGACCCCAGAAACTAAAAACAAAATAAACAAACTTTCCCCTCCGCCTCCCTCCCCCAAAACCACAACACAAACACTCGGGGGCCCGCCCACAGTCCCACCTCATTGGCCACAGGCAGGATGCCTCTATCGTTCACTGGCTAACTTTCGTGCCCATCAAACTGCTGTTCCTCCTCTCTTAAGTCCTCGCCGCTGCCATCTCCCCTCATTGGCTAAGTGCTTCCCGTTTGCCGAGCTGGGGTTGGCTGAGCGGCCTGCGCCAATCATGAGGGGACACACCCCCTCAGCATCCCAGAGGCCGCTTCCTCGGTCGCCGACCCAGAGAGACGAAGGGGAAAGTAGAGCATGATGGCGGCCGAGCTCGCCCAGGGCAGTCATCATCTTTTCCGTTTTTTAGCTCATTAGTGCCTCTCTCCGGAGCTATTTCTCGCAAGCTCCTTTCTCCATTCGAGACTGCACTAATAACGGAATCTATACGTGCCGGCTCCTTGATTTATCCCCTCCGAAGAGCTGAAGTGGGTTGGTTGTGCGTCATTGGACTGTCAGGATGTCGCTCCCAAGCCACATCTTTAAACTATTGGTGGAACAGCCAGAAAGCGGCCAACAACAAGGGCCCATGCCATTGGTTTGATTCCACTGTTTGTTTGTTGTTGTTTTTTTTTTCCTGGCATCTTATTGGGCACTTCGGTGTTGTCCGTCAGATCCGGATTCGCCGCCCTACTGTTTAGCTGAGGGTGTGGGGGTGTCTTTGGTCCTTGGTAGCTGACAGTAATAACTACTATCATTTATTGTGGATGTATTTTATGCCAAAAACGGTGCTGAATTCTTTACAGAAACTATCTGATTACACCCAAATTTTTACAAAAAGCAAAGCCAAAGGAGGTTAAAAAACGTACCCAAGGTCACTCATTTAGAAAGGAGTTGTTGGGCCATACATTGATGCCTGTCTGACTCAACAATCTTCACTCGTTTAGCTATGCATTAGTGCCTCTGAATAGTACCTGCTAGTCAACCCAACATCATAAAACTGTTTCTTTCAGAACGCAAGGTCCTTATGCAGTTCCTGGCAATAACATTAATGGAAACTAACAATGGAACGGTTGTCATAAACATTATCGGAGACTGTAACTTTGGAGAGATTGTCATTTTCTCTGTGACATCTTCTCCTAGGATCTATTCTTCCTCTTCTCAGTTAAACAATAAGTATTTCCCGACAAGAAGCACATGTAAATTTATTTTCAGTTTCTTTGGCTTTGTAAATGACGATTTTTACCATTCTTATGTGCCAAAGCAATCCTCACACCCATCGCTGACCATCTTTAGCATGTTTCTTTGGGAAAAAAAAATCCAAGAGTTGGAAATGATGAGAAATTAAGTCTAGAGTGAGATACAGAATAAATCCCCTTAGAAATAATTCATTGCATGCAAATGGAAGAATCCTCTGACTCCTGGAGAGCTTCCAGAGTTGCTGATGTCGAGCAAGCCATGCGTGCACTCCTGGCTTCTGGCCACTGGATTCTTTCTCTGTGACAGCTTTTATGGAAGTGAATCCACATTTCGACAAGGGGAGGGCAGGATGCTCAGGACCCACACACTACGAGAGTGTCAGCCCCAAGCCTCCGAGACTGAATGATCTCCACGAGCACACTGATGGACTCTGGCCCACATTTCTTCTTGGGTAATTAACATTTTACCATCCCAAATCCCTGTCCCTTGTAGCTGAAGGGGGATCACAGCCCTTGTTTCCCTTTCCTATCCAAGCTGTTGTGTAATCTCATTGGCACTATTTAGCAATAAAACAGCCATGTAACACAGTAATAAACTCAACACTTACAGCCTTTCGGCAGAGAAAGACAAGGTATTTCACAAACATCAATTAAGAGTAAATGGCAGGTTTTCCTAGGATAATTCGAGGACAGGATGGAGATCATAAGTCACATTCTAAGAAAGGACTTAAAGACATGAAACCTGATAACTCCGCACACAAAATGGGGATTAAGAACCAGAAAACAGAATGAGAAATGTCGAGGGTTCAGAACCTTCTAAGCCCTCCAAGTCGATTTGTTTTTGTATCACTTGAAAATATTTATTTCTTAGCCAGTGGGGAGGGTGGCAGAGGCAAGTGGGTCTCTGTGAGGTCAGCCTGGTCTACAGAGCGAGTTCCAGGATAGTTAGAACTGTCACACAGAGAAACCCTGTCTCGAAAAAACAAAAATAAAATAAAATATTTACTTCTAGGGGCTGGAGAGATGGCTTGGTGGTTGTGATCACCGACTGCTCTTCCAGAGGACCCAGGTTCAATTCTCAGCACTTATATAGCAGTTCACAATTGTTTGTAACTTATGCATGTGGGGTACAGATATTTTCAGGCAAAACACTAATATACATAAATAAAAATATTCATTCACATGTATGTAGATCTGTATCTGTGTGAGAGTATGTCATCATGTGTGCATTGCCCATGGAGTTTAGAAGAGGACTCCAGGTCCCCTGGTACTGGAGTTAGAGGTCACTATGGACTGCTCCCAGCATTGGTGCTGGGAGTCAAAATCAGGCCGCAAATGTTTTTAACCACTGAGTTGCTATTGCCATCCCCTGTACCTCTGTCTTAACCCTCAAGATAATGTTTGGTTTTATATGAGTTATTGGGCAAATCTCAGCTCTAAGTTCCTTGAAATAGTTTTATTTCATCTTTGTGTCCCTTATATCGAACTGTCTATAAAAGATTCCCCAATAAATGATTGTTCAGAAATTACTTAGTGAGTTTATTAAGAACTTTCCTAAGGCCAAAGGATTGCTCCACAGAAAAAAACACCTTGTTTGCTGTCAGGGACCTCAGTGTTGTAGGGTAAATAACAGAAACACAGTGTAGTGCTGTGATACAGTGCCCTGAAAGAACACTGGAGGGATTGGGGACCCAATCTTGGAAGGATAGACATGACAACTATAAGAACTACAGGACAGTTAGGCAATGGTGGCACACACCTTTAATCCCAGCATTTGGGAGGCAGAGGCAGGCAGATATCTGAGAGTTTGAGGCCAGCCTGGTCCACAGAGCGAGTTCCAGGACAGGCTCCAAAGCTACAGAAAAACTCTGTCTCAGAAAAAAGAAAACAAAACAAAAAACTACAGGACAAATGTGCTTAGCCAGGAAGAGACTGGTGACAGGTGGTGACCTACTATATCTTCGTGGGGAGGGTGAAGGTAAAGAGAACTATTGGAACATTCAGGAGTGGCCCAAGTCTGTTCTTCCTATAATCTTTGTCTTTGTCATTTCTAAGTAAGATTTTTTTCTGATTATAGAATTAATGTTAAAAAGCTGACTATAAAGGCACATACCTGTAATCCCAGCATTTGGAAGGCTGAGGCAGGAGAGTAGAGAGTTCAAGGACAGCCTAGACTGCATAGTAAGACTCTTGTCTCAAAAAAAGTCTGAAAAGTAACACTGAATAAATGGAACATTTGCTCTACACAATATGGAATGTTTTAAAGTAAGAAAAAACCACTTCCCATAATCCTATCCTATCCTATAGCCACCCACCCACAGAGGAGCATGCCTTCCTGTGATCTTTCAGGAACAGAGGCACACATAATTTTCCTTTGAGCAAAGAGCGGGATATGATGCAGTCTAGTCTGGGTGCTGAGACCCCTCATTCCTCCAAACTACAGCTTTGGCCAGAATTTGTCCTTGCTTTCTATACAGATAGGAAGGAAGCCAGTAAATCAATAAAATATTTATGATGGAAGACGAGGGTTTCAAATTCCTGCTGGAGTCAATATCAGGATTTTTGGGCTTGCTGAGCCTGGTGTGAAGGTAGAGTTAATGAATTGGTCCAAGGTGTTTCCTGAGCTCACTGTTATCGCCAGAGGACTTCCCAGCATGCTTTGGTGACTGTGGAATCAACTGGAGCCCAGAAAAGCAGTCCAGGCTAGCATATTCTATGTTCTCTTCATTTCCTCTCAGCATGCCACTTGGAGAAAATAATTTTTGTTTGTTCCAACCCACCCAGATTTGAAGGCAAAAAGAATCCTTAGCCTTGCATATTTGTATGCTGGCCATGTGCACTGTGCTCTTGGAACCCTGTACTATTCTGGGAGCTTTTGTATATGGTGTTCTATAAGTTGGCTTTCTGCTGGAGGAGAAGGCAGATTTAATGAGTGATAGTTTCCTTGGATGGCTACCAAAAGTATTCCCAGCCACCCCAAGCAACAGACTTCCTTTATGTCCCTTGAGAGACTGTGCTGTGGTCTCTGCCCTTAATCTGGACAAGATCCAAGCCAATAGGAACTTTTGCAAATGATTCTGCAATGACCCGCAGGCTTGGGACAGTTATGGCCAGCTGGATGTACTCCAGTTCTGGCTTCTGCGGCACAGGCAAACACCCTCCAATACTTTGGCCTTTCAATGCTCTGAGACATTTGGCAAAGTTTGCAAAGCATTCCCAATTCTCAAATCTCATAACAATGAGGTGATCTCTGTAAAGGAACCTAATCCAAAAGTCAAGGGGACAGCTGACAGCTGAGGCTGATTACTAGAGCACAGGAGTGTGGTAACCAATAACCAGGAGCAATGGGGGAGGGGAACATGCTGGAGGGTGTGGATGACAGAGGACATGCTCGAAGGTATTTATTACATGCCTAGTAGCATCTATTATGCAACAAAAGCCCTCAAGGTAGACGCCGCGCAGCTTCCAAATCAGCTGTAGATTTTATGACTGCATTTCTTGAAAAGCTGCTCAGCCAAGAAGGGGACAGTGAACCCTTCCGGTGTGTTGGTCAGTTCTAGACACAGAGTAGTTCACAGAGAACCTGAAGATATAGTTATTCATAACACCCTCGGCATCGACACATGCCGCGAGTTAGTCGTTGTACTAAGGGCTTCACTTGGATTACAGCAGTTAATCATCCCCTACAACAATAGTTCTCATTTTCCAAATAGGAAAACAGAGGTACTGGAGGGCTAAGTAACTTGTTCTAGTTTACCGCAGGCAGTAACTGAAGCCAGGTAGTCTGACTCAGATAGTGCGCTCTTGCCCATAATGCTATGGTGATCTGAGGACTCACAGT